ACGATAATTCTCTTGTTTTGATAATGTTGGGATGGAATGTACACAGTTGCTATCCATAGTTGAGAGCAGCAGATGTGCACACAGGCATGACAGATCATGTATCTCATTGCAACCATATGCCCCATCAGTCAGAGACAGGTGAGTATGGTAGTAAAATGGGTCATGGGCCAAGATGGAATCTAGGCGGGCACCTATAAATTCTATGTCTTGTACTGGATGCAACATTGATTTCTTTTGTTGGTTAGAAGCCCTAGACGTCTGAGGAAAGTTCTAGTTATATGTATCATAGAGGAGATTTCCTCGCATGACATCTGTTTTAATCAGGCAGTCATCGAGATACAGAAAGATGATGACGTGTTGTTGCCTGAGGTATGCTGCGACTACTGTTGGTACTTTTGAAAATACCTGGGGAACAGATGAAAGGCCAAAGACTAGGACTTTGTATTGAAAATGGTCTGATCCAAGATTGAAGCATAGGTAACATGGGTGTTCTGGATGTATGGTGACATGAAAGTAAGCATCTTTCAGGTCAAGGGCTGCAAACCTGTACCCTTGATCCAATGCCGGAATAATTGTATTTAGTGTGACCATCTTGAATTGGTGTTTTTTTAGAAATTTGTTCAATTTGCAGAGGTCGAGGATCAGCCTCCAACCCCTGGTTTTTTTCTCTGTGGGGAAATAGTTTGAGTAGAACCCCCTTCCATGAAATTCCTCGGGTACTTTCTCTATGGCCCCAATCAGCAAGAGATGATCAATCTCTTGTTTTAATAGGGACTCGTGAGAGAGGGATCCCTGAAGAGAGATGGAGTAGGGATTCGGGGTGGTGGATGGAGGTAAATGATATTGTGTCCGACACAAATTATTTCCAACACCCACCGGTCTGATGTTATAGACTCCCATTGTGTTAGAAAAGAGTGCAAATGGTGGGTAAAGAGGTGGTCAGATTGTAAAGGCATTGGATTGCAAGGAATATTTTGCAGACCCTCAACCACACCCTCAAATTTGCTGTTTAGTGGTTTGGTTGGTGGCGGGGCGGCTCTGGTTGGGGAGTCTTTTCAGTGGCTGTTGTCTCGGCCTGGTATCTTCATAGGGCCGCTGTGGTGATCAATTATATTGACCATATCTATTGCAGTTGTAGTTGTTATAGCGGATGTATCGCTTACATCCATAGGGCGGAGTGTACATGCCCAGAGTCCAAAGTGTCGTTCTCGAATCTTTACTACTATGCAAGACCTCATCTGTTTTGGTTGCGAATAACTTAAGTTTGTCAAATGACAGGTCCTCGACTTTGGACTGAAACTCGCGGGGACACCAGAGGCCTGTAAGATGCCCTGCAAGAGGAAGACCAAGGACAGGGTAGGCCCACTGCTTAGTGAGGAGGGAGAAGCAGTAACAGGAAACTTGGAAATGGCAGAGATGCTCAATGACTTCTTTGTTTCGGTCTTCACCGAGAAGTCTGGAGGTGTGCCTAACGTAGTGAATACAAGCAGAGAGAGGGTAAGTTTAGAAGATAGGATACACAAAGAACAAGTTAAAAATCACTTAGGAAAGTTAGATGTCAGCAAGTCACCAGGTCCTGATGAAATGCATCCCAGGATACTCAAGGAGCTGATAGAGGAGGTATCTGAGCCTTTAGCTATGATTTTTTAAAAATCATGGCAGACAAGGGAGATTCCAGAAGACTGGAAAAGGGCAAATATTGTGCCCATCTATAAAAAGGGGAATAAGAACAACCCAGGAAACTACAGACCGGTCAGTTTAACGTCTGTCCCAGGGAAGATAATGGAGCAGGTAATTAAGGAAATCATATGCAAACACCTTGAAGGTAATAAAGTGATAGGGAATAGCCAGCATGGGTTTGTGAAGAACAAGTCATGCCAAACTAATCTGATAGCTTTCTTTGATAGGATAACGAGCCTTGTGGATAAGGGAGAAGCGGTGGATGTCATATACCTAGACTTTAGTAAGGCATTTGATACAGTCTCGCATGATATTCTTATTGATAAACTAGGCAAATATAACTTAGATAGGGCCACGATAAGGTGGGTGCATAATTGGCTGGATAACCGTAGTCAGAGAGTTGTTGTTAACGATGCTAAATCCTGCTGGAAAGGGATAACAAGTGGAGTTCCGCAAGGGTCTGTTTTGGGACCCGTACTGTTCAATATCTTCATCAATGATGTAGATATTGGGATAGAGAGTACGCTTATTAAGTTTGCAGATGATACCAAACTGGGTGGGGTTGCCACTTCTTTGGAGGATAGGGACATAATTCAAAATGACCTTAGCAAGTTAGAGAAATGGTCAGAGGTAAACAGGATGAGGTTTAATAAAGAGAAATGCAAAGTGCTCCACTTAGGAAGGAACAATCAGTTCCATACATACAAGATGCGAAGCGACTGTCTAGGAAGGAGCATGGCGGAAAGGGATCTAGGGGTCATAGTGGACCACAAGTTGAATATGAGTCAACAGTGTGATGCTGTTACAAAAAAAGCAAATATGATTCTAGGTTGTATCAACAGGTGTGTTGTAAGCAAAACTCATGAAGTCATTCTGCCGCTCTACTCTGCACTAGTTAGGCCTCAGCTGGAGTACTGTGTCCAGTTCTGGGCGCCACATTTCAAGAAAGATGTGGAGAAATTGGAAAGGGTACAGAGAAGAGCGACAAGAATGATTAAAGGTTTAGAGAACATGACCTATGAAGCCAGGCTTCATGAACTGGGCTTGTTTAGTTTGGAAAAAAGAAGATTATGGGGGGACATGATAGCGGTTTTCAAATATCTAAAAGGGTGTCACAAGGAGGAAGGAGAAAATTTGTTCCTCTTGGTTACTGAGGACAGGACAAGGAGTAATGGGCTTAAAGTGCAGCAGGGGAGGGTTAGATTGGACATTAGGAAAAAATTCCTAACTGTTAGGGTGATCAAATATTGGAATAAATTGCCAAGGGAGGTGGTGGAATCTCCCTCTCTGGAGATATTTAAGAACAGGTTAGATAGACATCTGTCAGGGATGGTGTAGACAGAGCTTGGTCCTGCCTTGAGGGTGGGGGGCTGGACTCGATGACCTCTCGAGGTCCCTTCCAGTCCTATTATTCTATGATTCTATGATTACAATTGCTGTAGCTATCATCCTAGCTCCAGTGCTGGTGACATCCAGTGCTATTTATAGTGCAGTACAGGTGATCGTGTGGCCCTTATGGACTACTGCCTTTAAGACAGATCTCCCTGACTCAGGAAGATGTTCCATAAGATCCCCCAATTTTAAATAATTATCAAAGTCATGGTTAGCCAAAAGTACAGAGTAGTTGGCTATTCTTAGTTGCAGCATAGAAGAAGAATAGACCTTTTTGCCAAAGAGATCTAATTTCTTGTGGTCTTTGTCTTGATTGCCTGATCTATACTGTGGTAGCTTGGATCTCTGCTGGGCTGATTCCACCACCAGGAAGTTTGCTTGAGGGTGTGTGAGCAGAAATTCAGTATCCTTTGGCAGGACGAAATATTTTCTGTCCATCCTCTTGCTAGTAAGTTGAGTAGATGCAGGTGCTTTCTCCAATTCATATGATATTTCCATAATTGCCTCATCTATAGGTAAGGCAATCTTCACTTGGGATGTAGGGTGTAGGTTTTTAAACAGACAGTGTTGTTTTTCCTGTACCTCCTGAGGGGAGACTTGTTGGCTTGTTGCCACCCTCTTGAAAAGTTCTTGAAATTGTCTAATGTCATCTCTTGGGCATGTATCAGATGGTATAACAGCTACATCTGACATTGAGGTAGAATTGTCCATTGGGACTGCATCAAGTGTGTGAGAGTCCAGGTCTGTGTGAAGCACTTGTGCGTCGTCCTCCTCAGAGTCTTCTGTAGGAGGGAGGGGGTGGGAGGCAGACCTCTTCTTGCTGGTGTGGAGTGAATTGAGGACTGACGTCTGCACGGGTCCCAATATTCCCAAGGAGCCCACTATGGTGGGCAAGGCACTGGGGGATAAGCCCAATGTGAGTACCAGGGCTTTGGTGTGGTCTAGGTCTATAGCAGTGGGGTCGTGACCCCACCGGTGATGCCTGCAGTGAGGAGAATGCAGTCATCTGGTCATCCTGAGGTAAGGGACCATGGTGAGACCATTCCGGGAATTGAATTATCTCAGGAGAGTCACGAGCCGAGGGCATTTCGAGTGGCAGAACTGCAGCAAGAGGGCAAGAGAGGGGGTGCCTGCTATAATTATCCAGCACTGACTGCATGGTTTCCCCCAAGCACCATATGCATAACGAATGGCCATCTAATACCAGCAAAGGCTCTCGGCACTCCTCACATTTTTTTGAAGCCCAAGGACATTGACATGTTGAATTGTCTATGATATCTGTTTATGTTCCTTCTGTATTTCACTTTATCTTCTTTTTTTGTTTTGAACCGAGAACAGCTGGTAGAAGTGTGGTTTGTCCTGTACTTGAGCAGCAGAACCACGTTCACATCCCCTAAGGCGAAATTGTATTTATTTATTTATTGTATAAAATAAACTTGGGAAACTCCTAATAAACTAGTAAGATAACTATTGTTAAATTATTAAAGGTAACTAACTATAACTGTGAAACGCTGTGTGAGGTAACAGGCTGAGGGGAGATGTTAACGCTCTGTTCGCTGACAAGGGGAGGGGTTGAGCCATGCGAGCTTCATGCTCGGGCCGGAGTGGTGTGAAGTGCTCCTTGCGCATGGGCAGCTCAATGGGGAAAACTGCTTTGCAAGGCTCCGATCTGCAGCTTCGGGCAACCCGTCACCTACAGTGGAGCACCCATGGGGACATCTCTCGAAGAAGAAATCTGACAACTAAACTAGAAAGCAACGCTCAACTTGTACATCAGAAGTTTCAGCTCTTCTATAAAGTCACACGTTGGCCCAATTACAGCCCAGCATTGTTTTTTCTCCCTAACCCAATGTGATCCCACCTTCCTGTCCCATATTCCTTGACATGGCCTCAGACCCACACCAGTTCTCTGCCCAGCCTCAGCTTACCCCAATGGCATAGCGGATGATCCCAGCTCTCTCTGCCTCGGGAATGGCATCTGAATAAGAAAGTGGGTCTCCAAATTTCCGCCCATCTGTGATCACAATGAGAACCTTGGTGGCCTCATTCCGAGCACCACTCCTAAATGTGAACAGCTCCCACCTGGAAAAGGGAGGGTTGAGAACACATGGGAGGATTAGTGATATATAACCACATCTAGCTTCCATCTACTGCTTTGGTATTGCTGATCAGAAAGTCCTTGTCATTGTCTCCATTTTACCAATGGGAAAACTGAGGCACAGGGCATTGCTGCAACTTGAAGTCACACAGCAACAGGGATTCAGAGCTGGCCATAGAACCCTGGAGTCCTTGCTCCTGGCACTACTGTAACCTATTGGTGTGATATATAACCACATCTAGCTTCCATCTACTGCTTTGGTATTGCTGATCAGAAAGTCCTTGTCATTGTCTCCATTTTACCAATGGGAAAACTGAGGCACAGGGCATTGCTGCAACTTGAAGTCACACAGCAACAGGGATTCAGAGCTGGCCATAGAACCCTGGAGTCCTTGCTCCTGGCACTACTGTAACCTATTGGTGCCCAGTCCCCTCCTAGAGTCAAGAGCAGAGCTCAGGGGTGCTGAGCTAAGTTCCCCTTAAGCTGCACAGCCAGGCAGCTTCCCACTCAGGGCTGCAGCTGCTGTGGCCACAGCCAGGGAAAAGGGACCCCTTCTCACCAGCCCCAGCAGCAAGCCACCCAAGTAAACCCAAGTTCAAACCTGCTGCCCAATGCTGATCCTCTGCAGCCCTGAGCAACCTTTTGCACCCCAAAGCCCTCATCTCTGGCCCACCCCAAAGCCCATACCTCCAGCCCAAAGCCTGTACCCCCTTCTCCACCCAGAAGCCCAGTCCAGAGCCTATGCTCCCTGCTGTATCCCAACCCCGCACCACTCCCCAAACCTCTCACTTCAGCCTCACCCTGGAGCCTGCACCCCCCACCACAGCCATTGCACCCCAACCCTCTATCCTAGCCCTTAGAAACACAGACAGCTGGGTTTGTAATGACCAGGAGACTTGCCTGCCTGGTGCAAATGTTGTGGCTCTCAAGATGTCTAGTGAGACTTACATGCGGTGCTAGGCAGAAGCCAGTGGTCATGGTACATATACATACTAGTGACATATGGAAGGGTAGGAGAGAGGTCCTGGGGGCCAAATTTAGGCTGCTAGGAAAGAAATTGAAATCCAGGACCTAACTGGTGATGTTCTCTGAAATGCTTCCAGTTCCACATGCAGGGGAGAGGTAGGCAGACAGAACTGCAGGGTCTCAATGTGTGAATAAGACAAAGGTGTAGGCAGGAGGGGTTTAGATTTATGAGAAACTGGGGATGCCATATGAAGAGAGATTAAAAAGTCTGAGACTTTTCATCTTAGAAAAGAGGAGACTAAGAGGTATATGACAGAGGTCTATAAAATCATGTCTGGTGTGGAAAAAATGAAAAAGGAAAAGTTATTGGCTTGTTCCCATAACATAAGAACTAGGAGTCACCAAATGAAATTAATAGGTAGCAGATTGAAAACAAACAAAAGGAATTGTTTCTTTGTGCAACTCACAGTCAACCTGTGGAACTCCTTACCAGATAATTTTGTGAAGGCCAGGACTTTAACAGACTCAAAAAAGAGCTAGATGATGGGTCCACCTATGGCTATTAGCCAGGATGGCTAGGAATTATTTCCCTAGTCTCTGTTTGTCAGAGACTGAGATTAAGTGACAGGGGTGGGAACACTTGATGATTCCCTGTTCTGTTCATTCCCTCTGGAGGCACATAGTATTGGCCACTGTTAGCAGATCAGACACTAGGCTACATGATCTGTCCCAGTATGGCCATTCTTATGTTCTTATATCCTTAAGTTTGTTATGTGCACCAATATGAAGCTGAGGTGTTGCATGTCACCTCCACATTGGTGCACATAAGAAAAGTAATTCCATTCAGGCATGAGAAAAATTAAAGGAGACAATGGTCCTGAGTCCATCTATCTAGCTTGCAGGCCCTGACAGCCCTTTCCCTTTGGAGTCCACACAGGGAGGGGGGCGATACCTACACCACTTTCCGGATGGCGGTGGCTGTGTATGTCCATCCACCCAGCTGTGCAACCTTCCAGACAAGGTAATTCGGCTTACGATTTCTCCTGTACGCTGTGAAGTCGAAGTGCTGTTTAAATTCATTGGAGTACTGCATGAGGGCAAACTGCAAGAGGAGGCACAGAAAGAGAGGAAAACAACCTAAGGGATGAAGGGTAAGGAATCAGACTCAGTCAAGGGCTGGGACTGGCAGTTGGGGATAGTCAATTCTATGGGAACATTTTTCTGGTTTGGAATGCAAAATCCATTATAGCCAGTCCCCAACTTACAAACGAGTTACGTATCAAACACTTGGTCATAACTCGATCTATTCGTAAGTCGGACCCCATTCATTTAAATGCGACTGCGCTGTTTGTAAGCACGGATCGCACATTAGTAACTTGGGGACTGGCTGTAATGCGCTTAATGGGAGGTTGGTCGTAAGTCCAAACAGTCGTAAGTCGATGAGTTTGTAACTCGGGGACCAGCTGTACTCCTCCCTGCAGCACAGCACCCCCAAGCGCCGCACTGGATCATTGGGGTCAGCACCGACTGCGAGGGGCAGGTAAATAGGTAGGGTTCTGCCTCTGCCTGTTACCTGCGTGTCGGTGCCACGGAAACGCTTCATGATCTCAGAGAGAAACATCTTCATCTTTTCAAAGTCCTTGGGTAGGATACTGCTCGAGCCGTCGATGAGAAGCGTGATGTCCGTGACATGTTTGGGGCACTCTGAGGGGGACAGGGAAGAAGCGCGTCATGTAGCACTTTAAAGACTAACAAGATGGTTTATTAGATGATGAGCTTTCGTGGGCCAGACCCACTTCCTCAGATCAAATAGTGGAAGAAAATTGTCACAACCATATATACCAAAGGATACAATTAAAAAAAATGAACACATATGAAAAGGACAAATCACATTTCAGAACAGAAGGGGGATGGGGGGGTAAATGTCTGTGAGCTAATGATATTAGAGGTGATAATTGGGGAAGCTATCTTTGTAATGGGTAAGGTAATTAGATTCTTTATTCAAACTCAGGCTTTATTCACAAGGACTGAGCTGCCCATCTAGCCTGATATCCCACCTATCAGCTAACTCAATCAAACCACTTCATATGATGATTTCTCGCCATTCATAGGATGGTTTGGGGCTACCCTCTGGCTCTGCATTTTGGGAGGACCTGCATGGCCCAGATTGGTCCAGTGGATTAGCAGGGGGCCTGGTGTTGGCAGCAGGGACTGGGCCTATCCCCGCACTCACAGGCAGCAGTGGAAAGTGGAACAGAACAATGTGGCTGAGGCTGGGTGGATCTTGCTGCTTCCTGGCACCATCAGTGAGTGCAAGGGTGGCCCTGAGCCCTGCTACTAGTTTCAAAATCCCGCTAATGCCACGAGCTGCATTCCTTCATCTTAAAGCAGGAGTTCTTAACCAGTGAGGTGCACCTCCCCAGGGGAGGTGTGAAGGGGATACAGGAGAGGTGTGAGGTGCCTCCCAGAAAATTTATCGCAATTGCCTTCTTACTGGAAAAAATTCTAAAGTTTAGATTTCTTCATAATTAATATTATGAATTAAAATTATAAACATTAATTTCTTATTAACTTCTAGAGATCGGTGGCCCAGGCAGGGAAACCTTCGCTGGCCTGAGGGAAGGAAGCTGTGGGAGGCCCAGGCCAGGGCCTCAGCCTCGTCAGCCAGGAGCTCTGGGCAGGCCTCTGTCTCCCTCAGAGGCTGGGCCCCGACTGAGCTTCCTGGCAGAGTTCTTATAGTCCTAGCCACGCCCCTCAGCTTCCTGTCAGGTGAGGGGGCGGGGCTAGGCTGTGCACAAAATGGCTCCCGGGGGGAGGGGTGAACATGAAGTTTACTTTCAGGGGAGGTGTGAAGGTAAAAACAGCCAGGAGCTCTGGGCAGGCCTCTGTCTCCCTCAGAGGCTGGGCCCCGACTGAGCTTCCTGGCAGAGTTCTTATAGTCCTAGCCACGCCCCTCAGCTTCCTGTCAGGTGAGGGGGCGGGGCTAGGCTGTGCACAAAATGGCTCCCGGGGGGAGGGGTGAACATGAAGTTTACTTTCAGGGGAGGTGTGAAGGTAAAAAGGTTAAGAACCCCTGGAAGGAGTGGAATGGGGACAGACTAGGGACAGAGCAGGGACATGAAGAAGTGGGACAGGGTAGAAAAGAACGGTTACTTATCTGTAACTGTTTTTCTTCGAGATGTGTTGCTCATGTCCATTCGAATTAGGTGTGCGCACAGCGTGCACTGCGTCTTCCAGAGCATTTTCCCTCGCAGTACCCGTAGCGATAGGTCCCCCTGCCGGCGCTGCCCCACCTCAGTTCCTTCTTGCCGGATACTCCGACGAAGGGGAGGTAGGGTGGGAGTCGAATGGACATAAGCAACACATCGCAAAGAACAACAGTTACAGGTAAGTAACCGTTCTTTTCTTCTTCAAGTGGTTGCTCATGTCCATTCGAATTAGGTGACTTCCAAGCCAACCCCACTTCATGGAGGAGGGGTCGGAGCACCCAGAAAGAGAGGTCCACGAAAGTTGAACAACCCAAAACTTATTTATTCAAATAACATAACACAGAGAACTGTAAAAAAGTGCAAAGTGATACAGATAAAAACAAACATATTTACAATACAGAGCTGAGGACCGCAGAGCCCAACCCTGAGTCCTCCCTAGCCTGCTGTGTCAGCACGTAGTGCGCCGTAAAGGTATGGAGCGACGACCACGTGGCTGCCCTGCAGAGTT